ACTTCGTTGATTATTAAGTTCATCTAACATATTTATTGAGCATTTTCTACATGTGACGTGTTCCAGTATCAGCCAGTCACCAGAGTTAAACAGAAAAAAGGCGTATTGCCTTCTTTACATTTCCAGGGATGAGAGGTTGAAAGTAAACTGGGTATAAACAGATACAGCTATGCTAGATAATGTTATGGACTGGATGTGTGTGTGTTCACGAACCTATGTGGCAGTCCTAACCCCCAGTGTGGTTACATTTGAAGATGGGACAAGCTTCCAAGGACGTACTTCAGGTCCTATGAAGACCTGAGGATGGGACCCTGGTCTCTTAGCATTAGTGTCTTCGAACTAAGAGGCACAAGAGAGACCATGTGAAAGGCCATGTAAGGACATGGAGAAAAGGAGGCCATCTATGTGACAGGAAGCGAACCCCCCCCTTTCTAGAAATCACGTTGACCACCATCTTGATTTTGTATTTCCCATTCTCTAGGACTGTGAAAAATACATTCTGTTGTTCAGTCACTTAATCTGTGACATTTTGTTATAGCAGCTCAAGGGGTCTGATACAGTTATGTAGAAAACTAAATGAGAAGGAGAAAAAGAATTCTGGGGAGATAGAGAGGTGGTTTATAATTCTGATAGAATGATTTAGGAAAGTTTGTTTGAGAAGGTGACATTGAATAAAGGTCAAGGAGGGAAGGGAGGAAAGGAGGAAGGGAACAGTTTGGATTGCTGAGGGATGCTCAGGTGGAAGAACCTTGTACGAGGAAAGGCTAGTGTACCTGTAGTAGTGTGTGAGCTGAATAGAGGACTAGAGGTCAGAGAAGAGGCCAGGGTAAAACCTTAGTGCACTAAGGCTTTGGATTTGATCCTGAGTACGGTAGGAACACGCCTTTGGAGGTACTGTCTGCAGCAGCCTTTGTATCCCAGGCTGGCTTTGAACTGTTGTGTAGCTAAGGATGAGCTCGAGCTGCAGCTCTTTCTGTGCCTCCACCTCCTGAGTACTGGGATTACAGCTGTGCACCGCTGCTTTTGATTTATGCTTTGCTGGGCATAGAACTTTGTGCATGCTAGACAAGCATCCTGCCGGAAGCCACATACCCGGCCCCAGCCCTAGTTTTTAAAGGATTGTACCAACTGCTAAGCAGGAAAAGGGGGGACTTCAGAAAACATAGGAAGAAACAAGGCAATAGTTTAACAATCGAGTGAAGCAAGGTGACTGGTGATGATTGGTGACTTAGGGACATGGTAGCAGCAAAGTTATTGAGAAATGTTTACAGTCTAGGTATTATTGGAAGATTAATCTGACAGGACTTACTAGTGGCTTAAATGCTCAGTGATAGTAAGAAGGTAAATTTTAGGGCTGGAGAGATGGCTCAGCAGTTAAGAGCACTGGCTGCTCTTCCAGAGGACCTGGGTTCATCCACATGGCAGCTCACAACTGTCTGTAACTCCAGTTCCAGGGGATCTGACACCCTCACACCAATACACATAAGATAAATTTAAAAAAAAAAAGAAAGAAAAAGAAGGTAGGTTTCCTTGTTGGAACTGTGGTGGTATTGTGTTCCCCAAAATATTGTGTACCTTAATAAACTTATCTGGGGTCACAGAACAGAAAAGCCACTAGATACTTAAGATAGGCAGTGATAGCACACGCCTTTAATCCTAGCATTCCAGAGGCAGAAATCCATGTGTTCAAGGATACACCCAAGCATGGTGACTCACGCTTTTAATCTCAGAAATGGAGCCTTTAATCCCAGGGAGTGGTGGTAGAAAGCAGAAAGGTATATAAGACGTGAGGATCAGAAACTAGAAGCATTTTGGCTGATTAAGCATTCAGGCCTCTAGCAGCAGTTCAGCTGAGACCCATTCTGGATGAGGACTCAGAGGCCTCCAGTCTGGGGAAACAGGATCAGCAGAGGATCCGGCGAGGTGAGGTAGCTGTGGCTTGTTCTGGTTCTCTGATCTTCCAGTTCACCCCAATACCTGTCTGAGGTTTGATCTTATTAATAAGAACTTTTTAAGATTCATGCTACATGGAACTATTTTTTTTCTAAGAGTTATTTTTATGTGTATGGATAGTGTGTGTGTGTGTGTGTGTGTGTGTGTGTGTGTGTGTGTGTGTGTGTGTGTGTTTATGTCTGGATAGCTTATCGATTTGTTGAAGCTTGGGTATTTCAATCTTTTACTATCACCCTGTTGTTGTATGTTCTGTCACTATTCGCTGGAAATACTTGGGGTTTTCTTAAGCAGGCTTGTATAAATGTGTACTTGTTGCACGTTGCTGGCAAATTGGCCAGTTATCCCTACAGAACGTCTTCTTTTGTCTCTGTGGTACTTTTTGACTCATTTAGTTTGGTGTGGATTGTGTGAATGCTTACCACTCATTAGGAGTATCTTTTTCCAGTCTTTCACTTTAGTCTTGTTTATAACCTCAAGTCCAAAGAACTGATAAGGAAGATGCTATTGCCATTTTCTCATTTCCTGGCTCTCTACAGTCTTTTTCTCTTTTCTCTCATTTTATTTTTTTTACTAGAAAATAAAAGATAGTATAATAACTTCTTAGTTGTATTTTGAGAGTTTAAACGGGTTCTTCCTGTTTAATTAAAAAAAAAAAAAAAAGAGTGCTATTTTCTTTTTAAGACAAGCTCTCATGGTAGCCCAGGCTGGTCTCAAACTGAAACCTAATGTCTTTCCCTTACATGTTAGTGCCACAGTACCTAGGCAATATTGATTTCTTTTTATTATTATCATTTTATTTTATGTAGTGTTTGCATGTGCTGTGTATGCTGTGCTGTGTGAATATAATGTGTTGTACATGCATGTGGTGTGTTATATGTTATTCTGTGTGTGTGATGTGATGTGTGCATGTGTATGTTTTGCTCTGTGTGTGTATGTATAATGTGCTGTGTGTGTGTGTTATGATGTGTGAGTATGATATGTTGGACATGCATGTGATGTGATTTGTACGTGTGTGTATGTTTTGTGTGTGTGTGTGTGTGTTTAATGTGATATGTGTGTGTAATGTGTGCTGGCATGCATAATCCACAGTAAGTGTTTGGAGATCAGAGGACAACCTTTGGGAGTCAGTTCTCTCCGAGCTTCCATCTTGGCTCCTGGGGATTGGATTCCTGGGGATTGGATTCAGGCTTGCATGGGAAGCACTTTTACCCTCTCAGCCATCTCACCCGTTCAAGCTTAATCTCCGTACAAGGTAAATAGTGTGTTCAAGTTATAAACTTTTCACTAACAATAAGGTTTTAGTGCAACCTGGAAAAATGAGATCCATGTTTGGTGTGCTCTGTTTCTTCTTTTTTCTCTCACCTAGTCTCTAAATTACAATCTTTGTCATATAATTATGATACACTGACGGTTTTGTCCAAAAAAAAAAAAAACTCATGAAATCAGTAAACTCAGATTTATCAGTGAGCTCAGTGGCCTTTTTCAGACAAGTTTTAACACCACCCTCTTGTTGTATTGTTTGTTTTGTGGTAGGAGAGGTTGGACGTTGGATCTTGGAACACGGCAGGCAAACACGCTACCTCTGAGCCTTGTCCCCAGCCCTTTTCTTACTTTTTACTTTGAGACATGGTCTCACTAAGTTGTCTTGTTTGACCTTGAACTCATCCTGTAATCCAGGCAAGCCTTGAACTCACCATCTTCTTGCCTCAACCTCTTTAGTATCTAGAATTGCAGGCCTGCACCACCAAACACAAGTGAATCTTTTGTTTGTAATGTGAAAAATCTTCAGTGGAAATTTTGCACGGACTGCTTCTTCCTTGTTATTTCTTAAGCTTTTCTTTTTCAGTAGACCCCTTCTCATCTAACCGTGCAGTGTGTGTGCATGTCCTACCTGAGCAGAGTGAGTTCGGTCAAGACCTTGGAACACTTGTGACCTGAAGTTTGGTGGTGGTTGTTATCTCTGAGTCAAGAAATCCATGATGAAATATTATCTTTGTTTTCAATTCAAGGAAAATGGATATATCATTGTGTTAAATTCTGTTAAGTATCAGCAATTATGGAAACTTGTAAGACATTTCATCTGGTTTTGTTTACTCTAGAGATGGTACTTCCATCCAGTTCTACACTAGCTATTCCATAGAGAAATTTAAGTAATTTAATGTTGTTCTGTACTTCTTTGATTTCTTTTTTACTATCAACCTTTTTCTACCAATTAAAGATCCATTTTGACCCCTCCATACACACTGTTGTCTGAATTTGTCAAGAGGGTTTTTGTACTTTCTAACTCCAGACATAAGATGTTTATTTCAAATTCTAGCAACCAATTCATGAGGCATTTCAAATAGAAAATACTTTCAGATAATGACAGTCCTATAATTAGAACATAATATAATGTTATGGGGAAGTTGAGTTATTGATCAACCCTAATCATTGAGTAAATAACAGTGATAGGGAATTTGGTTTACAATCTTTTAAATTGTGTTTATAAGAACAATAAATTATCTTAAGAAAATAAATGAGGTTTTGTTCATTAGAGAATTTCAATTGGTTTCTTGGAATGTAGTTACATTGTAATAACTAGTCCACAGTGCAATAGAACTCATGACATTCAAAAGTATAAAACAATTCACTTTAAATTATTGTCTCCACAACTGATTTTTGTCTTTTTCATTTACTTAGGTTTTTTTTTTCATTTTTGCTTGTTTACATTTGCTGTATTTCATTTTCTACCTTATTGAAAATAATGCCTAACTCTATGTTCAAATTTTTAACATAACAGCTATTCAAGTGATTGATGTATTTCCAACTATTACTCTTGCTTTGTTGCATACATTTTATTGTGTTCCTCTCACCCTCATGTGTTTAAGTTGTTTTAAGATTGGGCTTTTTACTCACTCTTATTTTTAATCTAACAATACATTATTAAAATGTATATTCATTATGATACAGGTTGAAATTTGATTTTTTTTATTCTAGCATTTGTAATTTATAAATAAATGTCTTTGTTCAGCCAGACTGCAGAATTAATTTTCTCTATCTCCTTTTAGCTATTAGAGAAATTAAGAGACCGTTGGGTTTCCACTGGCTTATGGCATAGTTTAGAGTCAGTGAAGACAGTCATTGCAGAACCGCAAAGAGGAGAAAAAGCTGATTTTGATGAATTGCTGCAGGTGTACTATGATGCCATCAAGTTCAAAGGAGAAAAAGGTAATGGGAATTAATTTCATGGTCAGTGAAAAGGCTTTTTAAACTGTAAAGCAAGGAGAATTTGGTGCTATTAAAAAACATCATTTTATATTATCTTTTTAAGTGAATTGTACCTGGGGAAAATTATATTTTATAATCTTAGGTTAAATAGAAAGAACATATATATTCAGATATTAAACCACATTTTACTTTATACTACCTGAAATATTTTGTGCAAGAAGGAAGGTAAGGAAGACATAAATACCTTCCTAACTGACCCGGTAAGGGCTGTAGATTTTACACAGATAGTGTAGTTGGTGCTTACAGTCTACCAAATAAGATAAACTTAGAGGGGTTTGTTGTTGTTGTTTGTTTTTAGCTTTTGTTCTGTTTGTGTTGTTTGAAACAGGGTCTCACTGTGTGGATCAGGCTGGCCTCAGACTCGCAGAGACCCACCTAACTCTGCCTCCCAAGTTAAACTTAGGTTCTTCAAACACCAAGAGTAGTGGTGTTTGACTGTAACCTCAGCACTCAAAAGAAGTGGAGGAAAGAGGGAGGTACATTCAGGCCAGTCTGTGTTCAGATCCTGTCTCAGACACGAGCAAGTAACCGAAGACTCCATTTCCACATTTAAAAGAGTTGGGTGTGAAAGCTCATAGCAGTAGTCTAGGAACAATGCAACAATGAAGGCACTGTAACATAATTGTTAAGAAATTTTTAAAGATGTGTTTTATAATCTTATGCATACGGGCCTGAGCATAAGTGTGCACATCATATGTGTACAGTGCCCCAGGAGGTCAGAAAAGGGCATCAACTCCTCTGGAACAGGTGTTACAGGCAGCTGAGGTACCATATGAATGCTATAAATTGAACTTGACTCTCTGCAAGAACAGCAAATATAAATACATTTTTAATGACAAGGTTATAATCAAGTATGAGAGCCTATAATCCCAGTTCTTGGGGGGGAAAAGGGATAGGGGGTTGAGAGTTCAAGGCCAGTATGGTTCACATACTGAGATCCTGTCTCAAAGCAAACCAGAAACAAAAACTCCGGGCACAGCGATCCAGAGGCAGCTGCAGGAAAATTCCTGCAAGGAGGAGGCTGTATTTGTGCTTTTAAAAGTCATTATTGGATTTCAATTTCTCAGTTAATGCTTGTTCAGTTAATTTGCTGCTGCTTCTGTGCTGTGTATAAGTAACCTTTTATTTTGTTTTACTTTGTTTTGGTTTTTCTAGACAGGCTTTCTCTGTGTAACCACCCTGGCTGTCCTGGAACTTGCTTTGTATTTTGTAGACTTGGCTGACCGTGAATTCACAGAGATCTGCCTGCCTCTATGTCTTGGATGCTGGGATTAAAGATATGCGCCACCACACCTGGCTAGAGTAACTTTAAAAACACACACTTTGTAAATTGATTTGCTACCATTTTCATTTAATTTTGTTTCCTTATTTATTTAAAGATAATGAGATTTAAAAACTCTGTCTCAGACTGGCAGTGGTGGCACACACCTTTAATCCCAGCACTTGGGAGGCAGAGGCAGGTGGATCTCTGTGAATTCGAGGCTAGCCTGGGCTACAGAGTGAGTTCCAGGACAGGCTCCAAAGCTATAGAGAAACCCTGTCTCTAAAAAACAAACAGACAAACAAACAAACAAAAAACTGTGCCTCATAAAGCGATCCCTGGTTGCTTTAAACTACTAAAAATACTTAAGACAAGAATAAGCATTTTCAGAGATATTTGAGTGTGCTTCTTAAAATGTTGAATTCCTGTTGCTTAAGATGGAGCCCTTCTCATAGCGGTTTGCCGTGGCAAAGTGAGCGAGGGTCTGGACTTCTCCGATGATAATGCCCGTGCTGTCATAACAGTGGGAATTCCTTTTCCAAATGTGAAAGATCTTCAGGTAAGTCATAAGAGCCTTGAGGAGCTCTGTCTGTGTGCTTTGTGTGAATTAACTGTTGGTTTTTCTTGAATCCTCAGATACTAAATCTCTGGATAACTGAATGAATGAGAGTATTTTAGGAGGAAATGTTTATTTTTAGCATATCATTTTGTTCAACAAAAGTGGTTTTGAAAGTGTGGCCTCTGATCCGGAGCAGCAGTATCACCTGGGAACTTGATAAACACACAGCAATTTTTTTCTGGGCTCTATCAGGATTTTCTGAGTCAGAACAGTGCTGTAGAAGTCCACAATTTGTGTTTCATCAAAGTTCTTAGCAAGATACTCACAGGTTCCCCTGGGGATTCCAGGGTCCTTTCTTTATCTAGCTCTCTAGTGCCGTGTCTTGTAGATCTCATGGTTTTAGCCGCCCCCAAATTCCTTCCAGTCTCTTCCGCTTGAGCTCAGTAGGACCACGGCATTGAGCTTGTACTTGAGTGGTATGTGAGAACAGCGAGTTCACTGAACGATCCCAGACCTCCTGACAAGGCTTGTGTTGTTTGGTGAAGGGATGGGACAAGGTCTCAGCACCGAGATGTGTTTGGACCACAGGAACAAAGGGCAAGGAGTCAGAGGGGAAGAAGGAGGGAAAGGAACAAGGGAGAGGGGGAGTATCCGCCCCAGACGAACCGAGGACTGCCTCTGGATAGAGAGGAGACAGCCTTGGCCCATAGCAAAAGGCACTTTATAAAAGGAAAGGAGGAAACCCCGTTATGATGGGTTGATTTGTTTTCATTGGGCATGTTAATTAGAGTAGCCAAAAGAAGCTGAATCTACCAGGCTGGGCTGACTCCCCAGGGGAGACCTTGCCTTGGAGGAGGTGGGAATGGGGGGGTGATGGGGGGGGCTGGGAGGTGGGAGGAGGGAGGACAGGGGAATCCATGGCTGATATGTAAAGTTAAATTAATTAATTTTATATATATATATATATATATATATATATATATATGACTTTTGGTTGCTGGACTTCAAAAGGTGGACCTTGGTAGTCATCCTCAGGAGGAGGAAGTGGCCAAATAAGGGAATAAACCTTGGTGGCTAGCTTTGGGATGTAATCTAACAGTTTCTAGCAAGGGGAGAAGGGTAAAGACAAACCTGCTGTTGCCGTGTGTGCTGTGTGTGCCGTGTGTGCTGTGTGTGCTGTGTGTGCTGTGCTCAGGCCTGCTAGGGCCCTTCGTTTGGCATCGACGCCTTGAACATGTTTGCTCTATTTTGCTCAAATTTTACTGTTGCTCTAAATAGAAGAGACATTCCTAAAGCAGTTAGTTCATCTAGATCACCATTCTCAACCTGTGGGTCATGACCCCTTTGGCAAACTTCTGTCTCCAAAAATATTTATATTACAGTTCTTAACAGTAGGAAAAGTACAATTATGAAGTAGTATTACATTATAAAAATAATTTTATGGTTGGGTGTAGCTTGATTTTTCCTGCCTCGCCCACAGTCAGGACAAATCT